TATGTGTTTCCAGTCTGTTCCTCAGAGTTACACTATTTTTAGAAAGAAAAATCTGGAATAATTTTTACCTCATTAAAATTAATATTTCAAAAATAGCATCTCAGTGTCAAAGCCTTTACTACCTTTTTTTCATAATATTGATCTTTCATCCAAGTATGACACGAACCACCCATATTGAGTAATAATAGCTAAGGCAAAAAATATTAGACATTAAAAAGAGAAGCAATCTACTGCTACACAACAAAATACATATCTAGGCTTTAATCTCATCATAATGATGTGAAGGATCTCATACATATTCCAAAAACCCATCACTAGAAAGATTTTCCTTCCAGTTAAATCATTCATTGTAGAATAAATTTGATCTAGAAAAGAAAATTTCTATTCACGAAAGCAGAACTAAACAGAATATTAATTAACTCATATTGCAGAATAATCTGTAGAAAAGCAGGAAACTAGAGGCAGTAATAGCAACTCTCACCTCTTTGATACAAGGCAGCCAGATTGTTATTAGGCAATCTGAGCGTGAAAAAAGCTAATACAATAATACTGCCTGAATATACTGATCAGCTCATGATTGTTTTATGTAATGACATCTCTTTTCATACTTTTTTTCACATTTTCCATTTTACCATATTTAAAAAAAAGAGAAAAAAGAAAAAAATCCCAAACCTTTCTTTCTTTTGTCTATTCAGCATCCTTGGAAAAAACCACCAGATGGCAATGCAGTGTTCAAGTATTTCATTTAACATATATCTTATAGGGAAAAAAAGTCTATATGCATCAGCATGAGGCTCTCTTTCCTAACCTACTTCCTCTTTGATGAATATTAAATAATTCATAAGCCAAAACTCTGTTCAGCACAAGTAAGTGATCAAATACCATTCAACCTGTAAAGAAGAGAGTTTTAGAAATCTAAGTTCTATGAATGTAAAAACACATGACTAAAAAAAAAAAAAAAAAAAAAAAAATAAAAAAAAAAAAATAAAAAAAAAAAAAAAAAATCAACAATTTAGTTCAAACTGTGAAACTGGATAATTTCAGGAAAAGTCACTGAAAGGAAAATATTTAGAAATACATTACCATAAAGTTCTCAAAATATTATCAAGGACAGAACTGAATTGCACAAAAAGTAAATCTACACACTTCTTAGGCACAGCACACATTTATATGTAGTTTGATTTCATGCTAAGACACAGGCATTATCTTCTGCATTTTTGAAGTTTAATTCAATTCCTGTAAAACTATATGCTGAATAAATCAAAATATGTAGACTTTAAGTATTTATTATTCTTTTGCATCATGCAGATCACAGTGGTAAGACAGGAACTGTTTCATGAAGGAAGATGCTTTAAGATATTTAAAGGACTGAGAAGTAGTGCAAGAGTCACCTTCCCATTTAGCAAATCTTATCTGAGATCTATAATTTGACAAAATAAAGTTCCTCTTTGCAGTTACTGTTGCAGGCTCTGAAACTTCTATGGTTCAGGGAGACCTCACTGAGTACCTGAAATACCCAGTTAATAACCATGATGCCCACTGTGAAGTTAGTGGTTGGTGCAGGGAAGCTTACAGCAGAGTCCTTTCTTTCTTTCTTTCTTGAGAAGGCATTACAACCTGTAGGTGTTGTAGGGTCAACTCTACTTGACAGAAAAGTTAAGGTGTGCTTAGAAGTACTCAGATTAGGAAGAAGTTTCTTGCATCGTCTGTATTTAGTACTGGAATTTTTAGTACTGCTGCTCATCTATCCATTCTCATGTAACAAGCAGAGTTATCAAATGCTCTTAATGTAAAAGAAATCCAACATATATTAAAGAGTAACTTAAACTGTTCAGAACTTATTTATAATATCAACTGGGGAAAAACGTCTCTTCTGTCAGATAGAGACAATCATACAAGTTCAAGTGTTAAACAGGTAAGTTGAAAAGCTGTGAGCAAACTAATTTAAAGCATGTTTTCTGGCTAATGTAATAAATATTTGATTCACACTGTTCCTTTTATTCCCTATATTATTATATTAATTTGATACATAGCTCACAGTGGTAGAAAGATTCAAAGACTACCTTGAAGTAATTTAAGTGCTTTGTATAAGGACTGCTGTCATGATCAGAGATCAAATCCAGTGTAGCAGAACCTAAAATTTCTTATATTGTAAAGTCTTTTAACCTTCTTTTCAAACAAACAAATCCAAGAATACTATATTGATTCTAATTGTTTCCACATATAACTAATTACTTGATATAACTTCAGTCCTGAAAGCCAATAGATGGCCAGAATTGCAATGAATTTTTAGAAAATGACTTTCTGAATTTCTTGAGAAACAGAGAAGTTGTTGGAAATGTATCTCCACCAGATTGACAAACTCATTATTTTATTAATCACTATCTTTTTAGCAGAGCTGATAAATAAACATAGAAAAGAGGTCAAGTACTCTGACCGTATTGACATATTTTCAAGGACAGATCTCTTTTTAGTATTAAATAATGAATATAAAATAAACACAAAGTACATTATACTATATATTTAATAAATATATTAAAATATCTAATAAATATGAAAGTATATACGTTGAATAAATAAATAAATAAAGAATACAAGTTCTGTGGTTTTAGGTTTGGTCATCAAAAACAAGTTCAACAAAAGTGAATTAGAAAGAATAAATCCCAGTTAGAACAACCATTTAGCATACTGATATAAACTCCTTTAACTTTATTATATTCCTGTAATTTATAACAGAGAAGGATGTAAAGAAAAGCAGTACATCTCAAAAATTATAAGAACTTTATAAGAACTTGCAAGTATAAAATATTACTTTTTAATTTTTTTTTCTTTGCTTTCATGGTGACATTTCAAGGACAAAATGCACTCACAAGTGGAACTCACTGAAGAGAGTTAAACCATGCCTTCACCATGCTCTGCCTCTGGCTAACATGTTCACATAAAACTCAAGTTCTACTTTCCAAGCTGATTTTTTTCTCCTGCTTCCAATTATGCATTGCACTAATATTTGGAAACTATTCATGTTTTCACAGTACATGTAAGTCAATCTTATTTTGTTAAAATTTCTCTTAAATAAGGTTTTCCTTGTAGAAACACTTCAGGATTGCAAAAATCATACCTCCCACCCAAGGGAGGTAAAAAAACTAAACCAAGCCAAACCAAATCAAACCAAACAACAACAAAAGCAAACCAAGAACCGCCACACACTACTACATTCCACCTAGCACTGAAGAAGTTCTTCAAATCTTAAATCACAAAGAAGCATGTCCAAAGGCAGAAGGATCTGAGATTTCAGTAAATTAGAGATTGTTTCCTTTGCACACACAGTATGACAAACTGCCCCCTTGGTGATACATCTAATTGAAGATTTACACAGGAGAAGCATGCAAAAACCTCAAGATCCCATGGTACAGTAAGGTATGATACAAAGATTTCCATTATAGTTTTTCCTTTTTATTACAGCATCAGGATGAGAACAAATTCTATGTCTTGAAAAATTTTGTATGCTTTTTCTTTTGTTGGACAGCAATTATATTACTTTCCCAAAAATAAATTTCATTGTATATTTACCATTTTTTCCTTGCATTGGTTAATCAAATGAAGAGAACACAGGCAAAAAGTTATGAAATAAAATGGAAAGATAACTCAAATTATCAGTGTCAATTTCAAGTAACAGGTGACAGCTAAACTTTTTTTTAGTTCCTTAAAAATTGAAGTCTTTGTAAAATTTACCTTAAGATCAATAATATTTTTACTATATTTGAATTAAGGGGCCTTGACTTCAAGCTTAAAAGTATTAAATCTTAATCAAGTTGGACAATCTTAGACAGACATATTCAAAGGGTATCTACATTATCTATCAAGGCTACAGCAGCCTATAAACACGTCAACTTATCAGCAGATCCTTTGCTCTGCACACAGTGTGTATTTCAGATTTCTTGAGTTTAAATAACCCCAAATATACTTTATTCTCAAGTTTTTGTTAAGGAATACCTTACTTTGTAGTAGTACTCTGCGTTTGCCTTCTCTACACCAACATTTCCAACTACTAAAATATTGGCGACATAATCTGTTTCATTCTGTTGTTACAAATATAATCCATTGAAAATGCAAGGTATAATTTAAGATGTTGCCAAAAATGTATAAAGAGCTGTGTTCTCCCCAAGCACCCATTTACAACTACTACCAACCAGAAGACAAAAATAAATCAGAGACAGACTTCTGGAACAGCACAACAAAAGCTACCTAAAACACTCCGATGCCAAAAGGAAACTTACAACTAACAACAAACCCAATTAACTAATTCAGTCAACATGGGATTAAGACTTTCATTATCCCACCAACAAGGAATTAAGGCTTTTGTTAAGGACTTAGTCTTCTTTAGTGCAGTACAGCAAGATAGGTTGCAGAAGTAGAATCCTATTTTTTTCATTACCCAGAGAAAAGCCAAAGAAAGTAAAATCAGAATTTCAGGGTGACACATAAAAAATTAATCCAAAACTACCCAACTGTCTGAATACCAGCTATTTTTCTTTGCTGAATTAAACTGTTCAACCATGTATTATATCCCTTTCAAAAACACATTTTTCTGTTCACTTTTCATGGCTATTAAATTTAATGTGTTTGCTCTATTTGTTGTTGCTTAAACCCAAACTCTATAATCTTAATTTCTCAAAGTATATAGTGAAACAGATAAATCCAGTAACCAAACAACACTGACTGCAACGTAGTCTTTTAATTAAGTTAAAAAGTTCTAGGAATAACTTTCCTTCAGCAGGTGAAAAGTTATATTCATTTCACATCTGATTTTTTTTTTCATTAAGTCCACAGAAGACAACAATCTAAAAACACGTAGAAGCTGCCAACTCTTCTTGCTGCAGAATTTGAAATGCACTTAACTGTATTCCAAACCACCATAACAACATCCTGGTGTATACTTGTAAACTTTACGCACTCCTTTCCAAGCCACAATGTAACCACAGAGTTAAAGATTTACTTACCTGATCCCCTTTTGGTTACAACCTTCAAGCTCTGGGTCAGAGTAGCATACAAGAGAATCAAGTTGGGAATAGGAGCTTTCATCTTCTGTCTTTCCGTGGCTGCTTCCTGGAGTACCAAAAAATAGAAAGAAACACTGGTTGTACATTGGTGCTGAAAAAACTTTGAAGTAAATAATCATAATACTGACATTGTGGAAAAGCTAAATACAGTTTTTGTGAGAAATTTAGAGCACTAAAGATGTTTTATCTTTCTTTTAAAAAGTATGCCAACCAAAATAGTTTTAAAACAAACACATGCACACACTGCATTTAACCCTGGAGCTTAGGCTACAACTTTGCCTACACATTGAAAATTCATGGGGTCTCTACTAAAACTTTATAACTTTAAAACATGCATTTATTTCTTTTTATCATACAATCTTTTCCATCCATCAACATGAAAAAGAACGTAATGCCCTTCTTCATTAGTTTTTCTCTAATTTATTAACACCACAAATTGAACAGAAGATTCACAATAAAATGAACATTTGATTTAAATAAAATCTGATCATCTTCTTGGGAAGAGAGAAAAGCACATCACAGTAAATAGCAGAGACACTTGTAACTTCCTTCTAGGTGAGCAACTTCCCATGCACTTTCAAACTAACATATTCACAGCACTAAATCACAAGTGAATGTTACTTAGAATGGAGATAAGCAGAGCACAGACTGTGCTTTAGCCTTCACCTCCAACATGTGAATAAAAGCTTTGAATTTCTATTTAGTTACTCTGGGTATTAAGTGGTATGAGCTGCTGGTGAAAGCAGGGACTAAACATCTTGTAAATCTTGTTAATTCCTCATTTATATAAGGAAATAAGGGTGTCATCTATACATGATGATTATCAACTTTCTTCAGGATAGGTTGATAGAGCTCATATCTCATATTTCAGTTGGAAGAGGAAAGGAGGACAAATCTGCCTATTCAAGCTGGACAGCAGCCTATCTGTGCTATCTATATCCATTAGAGTAGCTTACACAAAAATACTCTTGTCTAATGGGACTGAGAAAAGGCTGAGATCAATGGTTCTTTAATATTATAACTAAGACCCAGACTAAACCAATGTGGTTTTGATATTCACCTCCATTAATCATAGCACTGGACAGGAACTGAAAAAATCTCAGAAGGTGCCACATAGTACAAGTTTTGATTTCTAAAGAGACCATGAATCTTTTGCATTTTCATTGATAATCAGGTTACTGAGTACCCAAGATATTTTTGAAAGCAATATATTAAAATATCCTCATCTTAGAAGAGAACAGGTTAGAAATAAGAAACATGAGGGGTATAAAAAGGACTTATAGGAAGAATTTCTTAAAATTATTACTTTATATATAATCCATATTAAAGCCTTACATTTCATGACATTTCAGAACCAAGCACAAATCTGTTACATTCACCACTATGCATTTAATAAAGATGAGGGAGATATTTTGACAACAGTTTGTGATATCTTATTTTTTATAACAATATTTGTACTCACAGAGAAATACTCAAGTATTTGTTCATTCATGGACTTTGACTTCAGCATTCCAGCATCACAGTGAAAGAGTAACTTGCCTACATTCACACGCTACTTCAGAAAATTTAGGCAATTTAGAAATTAAATATGAAATATGGGATTGCTAGGAGGTAAATTATGTGTAATGCAAACATTTTTAGTAAAGTTTAAAATTTAACAAAGTAGCATGACCACTGGCAGTTATAAATAATATAGATCTTAAGAAATTTAGAAGCTGGCAATAAAGGTTAATTTTCCAGGGGCACAGTGAGTAGATACCACAATGTGTTATGCCACATTTTACTGCAGACCTTAGTCAAGCTTTCTGAAATCAAAATCTCATTTCTCAGTCACTGCACTAACTGATGCCACAGGAAATCCTGAAGCTGATATCTTCAGCCTCCAGGGAATTAGCAAGAGTCAGCTCCTTGCACTGTGTGAGCCTAATAAATATTGCCCAAAAAACCACAGGATCTTACTACACAATTACAAATCCAGTAAATAGGTTCAGACTGTGAAAGAATATCCAAACACATCCTTTTTGACCACACATCAAAAGATAATATTTCTGATCACTGTGAATAAATGTAAATATATACATATATTTGCATATGTATGTGTATGAATGTATTTATTTGTACTTATAGCTATTTGTGTAGGGAAACTGTGGAGTAACTATAAAGATTGATTTTTTCAAAGCAAGCCTCAGTAAATGCAATAATATCTATAAGAAACTGTTCAGTAAATTAAAATCTTCTTTTGGTCCATGCATATATCACTAATTTAAGTTGTCAAGTCAACAAGGGGAACCATTATTTTAATAATATAGCAGGAATTACATTTGAAACATATCACCATGGAAAACATTCTCATGTGCATTTATTCTCAGAGATTCAGGTCTAACTTAAAGGCATAAGCTAAACTGGCTGCTGCCTACATGACTTGTGATAAATCCCTAGAAAGTAAAGTCTGCTGCTGTCTTTGGAAATACCAGAAAGAACTTGCTGCTAAAGGGAAAAAAGAAGGGAGGGATGGCTCTCAACAGCAGCCACTGGCTCCTTACAGCAATATAAGCAACAAATCAGATCTTACATAGGCTCTCCCCAGAGCCTTCCAACCCTTCTCTTCTGTTTACACTCCCTTTTGTGAAGGAGAAGAGTTATTTCTGATCTTCTCTACTTTTTAAAAACCAAACGCCCAACCAATGAAAATGCAAAGAAGTAAAGATCATTTTACTGGAGCTGGTGCCTCACAGCTCTGGAAGTTGTCTGGGCGGTTGGGAAATTCGCCTCAGGTTATTCATATGAGTGATTCAAAACAGATATTTAACATCTCTTGTCCCTTGTTCCGGGTGAATGCCTCAGAAATTGACTATTCTAGAAAATGTCACCCTTGTGAAATTGGTTGTGAAAACAAAATAAGCAAGTCAGAAGAAAATATAAAAGGAACATCCCAAGGGGAATCTCACAACAAGTTAACAAAGTCAACAGAAAATGCCTTCACTGCTGCAATGAGTATGCCCGAGGCCTAGACACTGTAACATATTCAGGTAGCTTTTAAACTAGAAAACAAATAAAAGGCATAATTCTGAGAAGTCAAATTCTTAACACTAAGTGGAGTGTGATATCTCATGCATTGGAAATAGCCTTCTTTCAGCAATGAATTTTTTAAGGAAGAGACTATTTTACTAGTCGCTTAGCCAGAATATATTTCTTTTTTAAAATAACATTAAGAAATTCTGATTTTAACAAGCAGAACAAGTCTGCTGTTCCTTTAAGCAATAATTAGATAGATAGTTTACATATACATCTACAAAAGTCATTTTTATGGCTGTTCTTTTTTCTGATTTTCAGTTACTTCCACTAAAAAGCCAAGACAATATATGGTAGTTATAAACATAATTTTTGGTTTTTAAGCTGAATCTATTTTAACATGTTTTGCATACCCTTGGGGTATAAGACTACTATACTCCAAGGGTGAATAGTAAACTAAGTCTTTTAGAACCAGATTTTTGGCTGCCTTTCTTTAGAAAATACCTAAGATGAATTGTTTTTTCATCTTTAAGCAGTATTCACAACTTGAAATTTTCAGTAGTGGGTTGTTTGTTTGTGTGAGCCAAAGCACTGAAAAAATGTTAAACATTTCTGCAGAAATATATTGCACACAAATTTTAACTGGGCATATGAATAACTTTTTAAAAAATTATTTTCTGAAGGTGTCACTGCTTGACACCAAAATGCCATAGCATAGCATTTACACCAGAAAGTATCTAATTTTCAGTTGAGACAGAAATAGAAATACAGTTGTATATCAAAACTAACACTCTGGGGAAATGCCAAGAATGCTTTTTCTCTTTGATTGTCATAAATACTCACTGTGAGGAAAATGCATACACATAGACACATGCTTTCCAAAACAGCTCAGCAGATATTGAATTAACTTACATTACATTACATTATAGTAAGGTAGTTCCTGATAAAGCAGGAAAGTAGAAAAGAAAATTTTGATTTCCTTATTGTACTTATAATGGGCCTTTCCCAATACTTGAATCAAACTTAAGTGAAGTAAGAAATTTTCCATGGGCTTGGTCCCTTAAAATAACTTTAGGGGATGATTCTCAGTTAGCCTATAACTGCTAGCTGATGTCTGTTGACTAATTATTTGAAAATAATTTTTCTTTTCATACTGCTATTCTAACTTTGAAGAGTGTTTTTTTTATGCATGTTAAAAACTGCTGCATTACCTTTCTTCATATGCCCTTTAAAGAAAAAGAAAAAAGAAAAAGAATATTGCTACATCCTCTGAAATCTGCAAGATGTTTCGTGACTGTTCTGCAGTAATGACAAAAATGCCTGTTCAGTAATATTCTCTTTTTATGTCGTAGTTCTTTACAAATCCCTGAATAGGATGACATTAGATCTCACAAGGTGTAAAGGAGAATTTGGTATGTCCAGAACACAATTCAAACATCTTGGGGAAAAAAAAAAAAAAGGTTTAAATTCCTAAAATGCAAGGAAAAACTAATATTAGAAACAATCTGATTTTATAAATGTGTCAATTCATTGTCATGAGCTGATATAGAACGGTAAGACAATCCTAGCAATTCTTAAAATGGTAAGTAAAAGAAAATTTACCAGTTTCAAATACAAAACTCCATTAAATTAGTCCTTTCCAAACTCTCAGTAAACAAAAGGATTCAGCAATCAAATTATGAAGAACTCATGAAAAACCAGGCAAAAGCAACAGGAAGCCAATAAGCTACTGCATTTGCTTTCCAAATCATCCCTGCTCCTCTATGCTAAGCAGCTTTCCTAAGTTCAAACATGTTGCGGTTCATGACANAAAAAAAAAAAAAAAAAAAAAAAAAAAAAAAAAAAAAAAAAAAAAAAAAAAAAAAAAAAAAAAAAAAAAAAAAAAAAAAAAAAAAAAAAAAAAAAAAAAAAAATAAGGGTGGAAGGAATGGTGACAGTATTTTAAACTGAGATATCCAAAAGCCAATATGACACCTGTCCTGCAGGGCACATTGTGAATAGGAACTCAGTGGAGCCTTTGGAGAGGTTTCCAAC